CTTGAAAGAGGGTATAGAAAATCCACGTTTTCTAGCTCTAATGATACGAGAAAAATATAAACATAAAAATCATTTTAAACTTGGAGAAGATATTTCTTCTTATTCTTAGAGAACACCTTCAAATAACAACACTGACCTCACATAACCTGACCTTCAACAACCCCAGCTAATTTAGAACACATTAATCTTTTGTTGCCTAACCTAATTGACATTATTAATGTACACATTTACAACCGCCTGTCAAAATATATTGTCATACGAACAACAAATACAAGAAATGTTATTGTGGCATGCTCACCTATAAATTGCATTAAAATTAAAGCATATCCCAAGGGCGTACATGAATATGTTGCATACTTTTGTCCATGTAATAACACACACACTCACATACAAATACATAAATTGATACAGTTGTATTTGTATATATTTATGTGAACTCTTAACCGTTTCTCGAACAGAAAGCGAAACAGAGAGGCAGGGAGAGGGAGGGAAGTCACCAACTATGCCGTATATTCCTTTAAACCACACAATTATGTTGAGCATATAACCTCTGGGTCCGTTTTCTAAATGGAAATTCAATTGCTCGGAAATTGTTTGACCGTCGACTTGAAATGTTGTCGAAATGGCCCAAGTACAGATGAGGAGAGGGAGAGAGAGAGAACGGAAAAGTACTGGTAAACATTTCACAAATGAAATATTGAGTTGCTGTTAATTAAATAATCCCTAACAAGAGCCTCGCATACAAATGAGTTGAAAGCCAGGCAGGCAAATAGCCAGGTTCATTGCTTATTGCAAATCCTCGACACAGTAGCACAGAATGGTTGTGTGTGTGTCTGTGTGGGAAAGTTGATTGAATGATGATTTAAAGATTTTCGTGCAAAATTGAAAATAGGAAATGCTACCACCAACTATGGATAGAACGCTTAAGAGCCCGTGTTTTTGTTGTAAAAGTCTGCGGAGTATGAAATATTATTGTATACTTAACGAGCGATTATCGTTTGAAATATTGTTGCCACCATTCAATGGTGGGAGGCGTAATGAATTGACAAATGGAAATTATGGCATACTTTAAGGGGAGATGTCTAATTAAAATGCCCTCAAGCTAGCTTACAAATTGCCGAGCGTGCTGCTGGTGTCATGTAGCACTTAAAGGAAAATGAAATATTTTAGTCATTTAAGGGGAAATTTAGAGTAGAAGGAGAATTGGAAATTGTATAAAACAACCAAGCAAATATTTATGGAGGGGAAGTTGTTGCTCCGCATAATTTAGTTTTGGGTGTTAAATAACATCAAAGCCCAGAAATGCTTTGCCATAATCAAGTAGTCCTAGGATCATGGCATATTTTGCGCTCAAGTACCTTGTTTCTCTTCTTAAGAGAGTAATATACTTTTGCGTACTTTAAGTGGAAATTAAAGCATACTTTCAGGATTTGGCCAAAGTCTTTAAGGTAGTGTTTTGCTTCAAGGCAATTTAATTATTGTTTGTATTCAAACGAAATGATGCGATGCTGGTGTCGCGTGTCACTTAATTGCTACACAAAAAAATGGTTGATGGCAACGACATAGATGCCAGAGACCACCAGAAGATGAGTAATTAATTGGTACTGAATCAAATCATATGAAATTAAGTAATTTGAACACAGGATATTTTATTTCATTTGTAATAGCCCTACTCCCACGTATTTACTCGAATTGAAATATTTTCAATAATTCAATTCAAATTTATTGAGTCTATTTTTGAAATAAATACTTAAAACCATAATATTTTGTTTTAATGCTGGTTCCACATCCAATTTTTTGGGGCAAAACTATTTCAGGGATTTATTTTATCCATATCCTAAAAACCAAAAGTGACATCTATACATTCGCTCAACGGCAAATTTAGTAACATTTTGTGCTTTTCGAGTAATCATTGTTCGCCTTCCAAAAATTAAATTGGCACGCACTCCCAAAACTATATACCAACAGTGGCCCCCGGAACGGAAAATTTTATGGCTTTTGAATAATTTCTGCCTTTATAGTATGCATATCCGAACCAGCGCCTTCTCTCAATCACAAGCCCCAAAAGTGACATCCATATCATGATTTCAGCTCTTTTCCTTCATCCAATACCAGAATTAATACTATGTAATACTTTTCGAACAATTATAGTTCAAAGTTCCAAAATCTACTCCATATATCAATCCCAGATACCAACAGAGACCTCAATATGAAATTTTGGGTTTCCAGGATTAGTAGCACATAGTACTATTCATATAAATAAATATATTTTCAAACCACCGTCAAATCTCAAAGAGAAATACCATAAGTAATCTAAATATACAGTTTTAGAATTTTACCTCCATCCTCCACCCAATACCAAATATAGTAACCATGGATAGTAACACTCAGTATTGTCCATACACTTATAGTACTATATGAACAGTGACCCTAATATCAAATTTTAGATTTCAAGCACTATATGCCACAAAATACCAAATTATACCAAAAATAATATTATTTAGGCATTTTCGTACAATTATACGAAACACATTTCCAAAACCACTTCCATATCTCAATTCCAGATACTCAATATCAAATTAGAGGATTGTACTTTGGTACCATTTAGTTCTTTTCGTAAAACCAGAGTACTCATTTCCAAAAACAGCTCCATATCTCAATTTCAGATACCAGCTGTCACATGTATAACAAATTTCAGGATGACAGCCCTATTCCTTCACCCAATATCAAATTTATCACATTTCGTATAATTTTAGTACAAGTTTCCAAAATCACCTTCATATCTCAATTGCATGTACCAACAGAGAGCTCAATATCAAATTTGAAGATACCAGACATATCCCTTCACCCACAGCAAATTTAGTACCATTTAATAATTTTCGTACAATTATACAACACATTTCCAAAACGACCTCCATATTTCAGTTCCAGATATCAGCAGATACCGCAATATCAAATTGGAGGATTCCAGCTCTATCTATTCCTTCACCTAATAAACAAATTTAGTACCACTTAGTACTTTTCGCTCAAATATAGGACACATTTCTGACACCATCGTCAACCTTAAGCACAAAAATTATGGCACGAATTATGGCCCTCAAACGGCCATAAATGAAACCGTCACACGCTGCCCGAATGTTGCTCTGCGGTATTTTGGCCCATTCCCGGCGAAGCTCTTGCTTGAGGTAATCGACACTTTGGTATTTCTTAGTGCCAACCTTGCTTTCCAAAATACTCCAGACACAATAGTCCAACGGATTGGTATCCGGAGATTTTGGTGGCCATTGTGCGCTGGAAATAAAGCGAGGAACCTCATTTTGTAACCATTCTTGAGTGGCGCGTGCTGAGTGCGATGGTGCTGAGTCCTGTTGGAATGTTCAAGGTCTGCGGGAAAAATGTTTGCGTGTCCAAGGCTTTAATACACCCTCCAGAATATTTTCGCGATAATATTCGGCATTTATTCTGACACCACGTCCGATTAATACGAGCGAAGAGCGACCATCGGCTGTTATGGAGGCCCCAATCATCACCATGGCCGGCGCTTGAGTTCTGGTGGCCAACCAAAGGTGCACATTTTCAGCTGACCTCTTTCGCAAGTAAACACGATCATTTTGTTTGTTTATAAACTGCTGGACAACGAATGCTTTCTCATCGGAGAAAACCAAATTCGGCAGTTCACCACTTTCGACCTAGCGAAGCTCTTTTGAATCTATTTTCTTTCAGTTGCGGTGTAAGTTCTTCCACTTTTTGGAATTTCAGTGGCTGTACCCCGAGATCATTTTTTATACCCTCCACCATACTATGGAGGGTATATTAACTTTGTCATTCCGTTTGTAACTCCTCGAAATACTCATGTCAGACCCAACAAAGTGTATATATTCTTGATCAGCGTAAAATTCTAAGTCGATTTAGCCATGTCCGTCTGTCTGTCCGTCTGTCTGTCTGTTGTAATCACGCTATCTTTCGAACGAATTGAGATAGAAGGCTAAAATTTTGCACACCTGTTTATTTTTCCAGTAGGCAGGTTAAGTTCGTAAATGGACCAAGTAGGTCCACGTTTTCATATAGCCCCATATAACGGTACCTCCCGATATTCGGTATTTTGATGATTTTAGCAACATTATTCACCGGAAGTTCGAAATGGATACTACAGCCTATGACAGAAAATTATCTGGGCAGGTCCACGTCTTCGTATAGCCCCCATATAACGGTACCTTTCTATATTCGGTATTTTGATGATTTTAGCGACATTATTCACCGGAATTGTTTCAAATTACGTATTTAGAGTTCGTAATGGGAACTACAGTCTGTGGCAGAAAAATGTCTATGCAGGTCCAGGCCTTCGTATAGGCCCCATATATCAGTACCTCCCTATATTCGGTAGGTACAATACCCACCGAAATTTTTTTAGATGTCGTATTTGGCGTTCGTAATGGATGCTATAGCCTGTGACAGAAAATTGTCTATGCTGGTCCAGGTCTTCGCACAGCTCCGATATAACGGTACCTCCCTATATACGATATTTTGATGATTTTAGTTCATTATTCACCGTTTATTTCAAGTTTCGAATTTGAATATGGTAATGGCAAATGGCAAACAATGCCTATGTAGGTCCACGTCGTATGGACCCCAATATAACGGCAATATTCGGTATTTTTAAAATTTAAGAGAATTTTTTAAAGATTTTTTTTTTTTTTAATTTCCAAATTCGTTGCAAATGGTGGAGGGTATTCAAAGTTTGGCCCGGCCGAACTTACTGCTTTTTAACTTGTTTTTTTTTTTTTAATTTCTGCAGCAGTTCTTGATTTATAAGCGTAGTAAATAACGTCACCCTTTTATATATATCAACAAATCGATAATTTTCACCCATGTCGATTGTTAATTAATAACAAATTATCTGTCTACAGTAGAGCGTTAGACGAATAAATATTATCAACCATTCTACAATCAGATATCAAACAATAATTAACTTTCTTTTCTATTTTTTTTTCTATTTTTAGCTTTAATCCAAGCAATTAAAGAAAAACAAATCCAAAGAAAAAAGCATTTTCCCCAAAAATAAAATACAAAAAAACAATAACTGCCAAAAAATATTTTATTTTAAATACTCATAAGAAAGAAAATAAAGAACGTTAGTAGCAAACAAATCACCTGGATTCCTTAAAAAAAGGCGAATTATTACGCGGATAACAACAGTGTGTCTCCTGGGTGTTTAACTTTGTTGTCCGCACTCCATCAACATCAGTTTTAAATATTTAAACCGACAGAGGAACTGGGAGCATTTCTTGTCATCAAGCATATTATCAGCAGCAGTCGAAGAACATCCGCATCAACCATCATCACAATGCGCCGTAATGTTAAATTGATTGTTTTTGTCAGCGTCATCTGGATGTTTGTCCTGGTTTATTATTTTCAAACCAACACTGAAAAGGTAAGTGTGAATTCTGCCTCTTTGTTTATTTTTCGTGTTCATCTCGTTCTTCCTCATCATCTTCATCATTATTTTCATACGGCCTCATCACCGATCATTCCGTCATCACCATGGTTCCGCTTGTGCAGGTGATGATGACGATGATGAAGATGATTAACATTTTCTGGTTTTCGGGTATATTTTTTAAATATTTATGAATGAATATTTTATGCATTTGTCATTGTTGTTTCCTTTATTATTGTTGTTGTTGCTGCCGTTAAGCAGCATTTCATTTTCATCGGTGGTAAAATATGGGCTACTTAAAACATTTTGGGTAAATAAAATTCTTCTTGGGCATTAAAAATAATTTGGGAATAATGAAAAATGTCATAAGGGATTATTTTTTATATTCTAGGATCCAATTATATTCTACTTCGTGGTGAAAGATTTTGAGTTACATTTCAAATATATATTAATGTCTTATTTGGATAGGTTAGATTAGATTTGAAAGGTTTTTATCAAAAGGGGAGCTGCAGCAGGTCTTTTTTATACCTTCCACCATACTATGGAGGGTATATTAACTTTGTCATTCCGTTTGTAACTCCTCGAAATACTCATGTCAGACCCAACAAAGTATATATATTCTTGATCAGCGTAAAATTCTAAGACGATTTAGCCATGTCCATCTGTCTGTCTGTCTGTCCGTCTGTCTGTCCGTCTGTCTGTCTGTTGTAATCACGCTATCTTTCGAATGAATTGAGATAGATGGCTAAAATTTTGCACACATGTTTAGTTTTCCAGTAGGTAGGTTAAGTTCGTAAATGTGCCATGTAGGTTCACGTTTTCATATAGCCCCCATATAACGGTACCTCCCGATATTCGGTATTTTAATGATTTTAGCGACATTATTCACCGGAAATTTAGTATTTAAAGTTCGAAATGGATACTACACCCTAAGACAGAAAATTGTCTGTGCAGGTCCACGTCTTCGTATAGCCCCTATATAACTGTACCCCCTATATTCGGTATTTTGATGATTTTAGCGACATTATTCGCCGGAATTGTTTCAAATTTAGTATTTGAAGTTCGAATTGGATACTACACCCTAAGACAGAAAATTGTCTATGCTGGTTCAGGTCTTCGTATAGGCCCCATATATCAGTACATCCCTATATTCGGTATTTTGACGATTTTAGGTACAATACCCACCGAAATTGTTTGAGGTGTGGTATTTGAAGTTCGTAATGGATGCTACAGCCTGTAACGGAAAATTGTCTATGGAGGTCCAGGTCTTCGCACAGCTCCGATATAACGGTACCTCCCTATATACGATATTTTGATGATTTTAGCAACATTATTCACCGTTTATTTCAAGTTTCGAATTTGAATATGATAATGGCTTATGACAAACAATGCCTATGTAGGCTCACATCGTATACACCTCAATATAACGGATTTTAACAGAATGTTTTAATGATTTTATTTTCTGAAAATTTAGAAATTCGTTCCAAATGGTGGAGGGTATTCAAAGTTCGGCCCGGCCGAACTTTCTATTTTTTAACTTGTTTTCATATAAGAGGTTCCGTTTCATATCGACTTCGAAACGATAGTCATTCAATTTGGTTGATGCGTCCAATCGTTGGATGAAAGTCGTTCACTGTAGCAGATATGCCGCACCGAGCCCTGAAACTAGAGGAAATTTTTGGCAACCTCTATTCAAATTCCATACACTTTTAGAGAGAGGGGGGCTGTGTTTAAGAATAGTGTAAAATAACACGATAACCACAAAACGTTTTTAATGAGAAGAGAACTGAAGACATGGTCTCTGACCAGAATTTGGAATAAAAAAACATATTAAAAAGTATTAGACAGATCTATAACCTCGGCCTATGCCCGTTTATAAAAAAAAGAGTAAAGTAATTTATTGAGTGACCGACTGACTTAAGGATTCATCAACTCCCAGATGAAACGGCTGAAGCTTGAATTTTGAAAATTTTGGGTGTGGGTTACTCTTATTCCAAAGGGGTTAGATAATGCTTTGGTTTTGGAAATCCGTACTAGAACGGTACGAAAATTTTTAAAAAGATACTAAATATGATATCTTTTGTATTTGAGGAAGCAGCAGAGTTAGGACTCTTATATTTAGGATAACGGTAACTGATGGATGTACCAAAGGAAAATTCGCAATATGAAGTTGGGGGACGAATGGTTCTGGAATCTTGAAACTTAAAATGAGCATTACATGCAGAGTGATGGATTGGGATATGAAGGAAGTATTCGAAGTCTTTACTTATGTGCACGAAAAGTGCTAAATGGTACTAAATTAGGTACAATTACGATTTAAGTAACCCAATAGAGCTGGAACGCTGAAATTTGAAATCAGATTACCATAGCATTGTTAGACTGAGAAATGTATGCAGTTTTGGAGACTCGTACTTATGTGTACTAAATAATATTAGGTACTTATGAAAATTTGTACTTAATTGTAGTAAATGTATTAAATTTGGTACAATTCGGATTTGGGTGAACAAATAGAGCTGGTATACTGAAAATTGGAAATAAGATTACCACTGCATTGTCGGAATGGGGAATGTAGAAAGTTTTGGAAATTCGTACATATGGTACTAAATTGGGTATAATTTGAATTTGAGTGAACCGGTAGGGGTGGAATCCTGAAATGGTACAATTTGGATTTGGTTGAACCAATAGGGCTGGAATGCAGAAATTGAGAATTCCTATTAGATTGTTTGATGCAGGATGTTATGGAAATTGGTACTTATGTGTACTAAATAGTACCAAATTTGATAAAGGTTGTAATAGTGGTGAACCGATGAAGCTAATTTGGAAATAAGATTTCTATGGTGTTGTATGGTTGAGGTATGGAGCTAGTTTTAAACATTTGGATTGTAGGGTTGGTGTATGTTGGAGGTTTGGAAATTAGTACTTATGTGTACTAATTTCGATACAATTTGGATTCTTGTGAACCGATAGAGCTGGAATCCCGAAATTTGATATGAAGGTCTCTGTGGTTAATGGAGGTGGTTTTGGAAAAGTGTACTAAATTTGTTCGAAATGTACTAAATTTGGTATTGGGTGAAGGAATATGGCTGGCATCCTCAAATTTGATATTGATGTCTCTTTTGGTAAGGTCAACGGATGAAGGAGGAGTTTTTAAAATTTGTATTGGGGTCCCCGTTGGTAGTAGGTTTGTGATAAAGAGGTAGTTTTGAAAATGGGTACTACATGTGCACGAAAAGTACTTTATAGTACTATTTTAGTACATTTTAGTGTAGGGTAAACAGATAGTGCGATGTTCATGTGTAGCCTGGTCATATAATGGTGGTTTCGGAAATATGTACTATATTTGTACGAAAAGTACGAAATGGTACTGAATTTGGTATTGGGAATTGAGCTAGAAACCCGAAATTTTATATTGAGCTTTCTGTTGGTAGCTCGAATTGAGATATGGAGGTGTTTTTGAAATGTGTGCTATAATTGCTCGAATAGTAATCGGTGGTAATAAATTTGGTTTTGGGGAAGCGAAAGTGCTGGAATCCCAAATTAGATATTGAGGTCTCTGTTATTATGTGGGATTGAGATGTGGAAGTGTTTTCGGAAATATGTACCATATTTTTACGAAAAGCAATAAATAGTACATGATTTGGTATTGGGTAAAGAATGAAGATAATATTCTGAAATTTGATATCTAGAATACTAATGGTGCCGGTGTTTGAGATTTGGCAGTGGTTTGGAAGTGCGTCCTTTAGTTGCAGGAAAAGTACTAAATGGTGCTAAATTGGGCATTGGGTAGGGCTAGAATCCTCAATTTTGATATGGAATCTCTATTGGTATCTAGAATTGGGTTATGGGCGTGGTTTTGCAAATGCGTCATATATTTGAACGAAAAGTACTAATTGGTACTTAATTGGATATTGGGTGAAGGGATAGAGCTGGAATCCTCAAATTAGATATTGAGGTTTCTTTTGGTGTATGGAATTAAGATATAGAACGGGTTTAGAAATATCTACTATAATTGTACGAGAAATACTAAATAGTACTAAATTCGGTATTGGGTGAAGGACTCGGGCTGAATCCTTGAAGTTTGATATGGATATCACTTTTGGCGTCACTGGAGGTGGTTTTGGAAATGTGTACCACATTTGTACGAAAAGTACTAAATGATACTGTATTTGGTATTGAGTGAAGGTATATTTTATATATATTCTCATGTGTGATATTGAGGTCTCTCTAGGTATCTAAAAATGAGATATCGAGCTGAAATTCTGAATTTTGATATGTATGCCACTGTTGGTGTCCAAATACCGAGTTGAAGAAAGAATCGCTGAATTGTTTTGAGGGTTATGCGAGATGAAAGTATAGTACATTTGTGACCCTTTTTGGGTGAGGTACCGGATGGTGTGGGTCGATATCTATCATCTTCATATTAGATCTTGCTTGAGTATAAATATTCGAATGTTTAAAATTTGTAGAGAGTTGGATGCTTATTTGGCATTTTGTGGGTGTTTTGCTATTCAAAATGTTGAACCTATTGTGGGGTTGGTACCAGAAGGAATGGACCGGTATATTCTATCTTTAAATTATATATTGTGTTAGTAAAAACATTGGGATGTGGGAAATTTGAGAAGAAGTGGATGTTTATTTCATCTTTACATCAGATTTTGTGTTAGTAGAAATATTGATATGCTTGAAGTTTAGAAAGTATAGGATGCTCATTTCGCTTTTTTGAGCGTAAAGGGTAGTCAAAATTTTAACCTGTTAAGGGGGAGGTACTAGAAGGCGAGTTCCGTTCTATACTATCTTCATGCTAGATCTTGTGTTTTATAAAAAAAATTGAGATTTAAGAAATTTGAAGACATATGGACTTTTATTTTACATTTTATGAGAGTTGTAATTTTTTAAGATGTTGACCGGAGGTACTTGATGGAGTCGACCGGTATTGTCCATTTTGCAAAGTTTGAACAAAATTGAGTGATCCTATATTGATCTATGAGGTAAATGAT